AGTGGGTTCACTTTAACAGCATTGATAATATCATGAGGACGAGACCTGAGTACTGAAATTAATCCTATATCATTGGCTTCAAATATTGGTGGCTTCCGCATGCGTAAAGTAAAAAATGTTGAACATTATGAATCAATGATAAATGATGAAAATGCTGATGAGACTGCATGTTCGAGAGCGAGATTAATTATTTAGCGTTAGGCGATCGAACGTTTGAGAACGTTCGCTCGCCCGCTAGCATCGCGACGGGCTCGCGCTAGCCGCAGCGCGAGTCCACCTTTTTTTCAGCACTGATTTCGCTGGGTGTCCGCGGTTGTCATGCCGACCATACGCGCAAACAAACAAACATTCGCGCTTCTCTACTCGCATGCTAGATCGCCGCTGTTACCATGCAGGCCTTATTTGGAAATGATCTCGAAGATTCGGCAACCGCGACCAACCAGCGGGCGACTTGTCGCCAAGTGCTTTTTCTTTAAAAGCTGCCCTCGCCGACGGCGAGGGCAGTCCGTGCTTCGCATCGATCACTAGAGGAGCACGTCTCGGACAGCTGAGAAACAGCTGATCTCAAGCTCCGGCTATATCAGCGAACGCGTCGCGTTTCAATCGGTCCGCCAGCTATCGTATCTCTAGCGGGACTGCGAGCTCCGTTGCACTCGCGCTTCCTCCGACGCGGAGGAGCATCGTCGCGACTTCTCTCGAGCGCCGAGAGCCGATCTCGGTCTCTCGGGCCAGCTCCGCTCTTTTGAACGCAAGTCGGCGATCATTGTTAGTCGCTTGCCGCTCGCGCCGTTCGCGCTCTCGTTACTCAATTCACCTGGGTTTTGTTCTGTACGTGTGTGTTTCTGTTGTGCAACGACGTTGTGACTTATTCTCGTTCGAGAATCGGCTCGTTCGACGGCTCGCGGACGCGCGCCAGGGTCGCGGAAGATTTCCGTCGCTCGCGAGCAAGATTTCCGTCCGCGGAGAGAGAGCCTCTCTCTCAACAAGATTTCCGGCGCGCTCGGCTGACCCGGCCGTCGGCACATGAAGATTTCCGCTTCGAACCATCTCGCCGTCGAACAGCACCGTCGAAAAGTGGTCGGATCATTAATAAAGTGAGTTACAATCAAGTATAAGTGTTCAATTCGCTCTCCTTCCTCACCGCGCCCAGCGCTGGGCGAAATCAGCGCGTCTGCTCGCTGCCCGACGGGAACTCAGTCCGTCGGATCCGCGACACTGCAAGTGCTGTGTTTTCACTGGACAGAAATGCAATCGACAGAGACACACGTAGACCAATCCGTAGAAGATCGCGATTAGAACCATTTGGGCAGTAGCTCTTCGAGAACAAAGAGAACGGCACCATAAAGAAAATTTTCGTCAAAGACAGCGCTTTCTCTTTGCTCTTAAACAAGTATTGAAAAAATAAGATTGTTTTGGTACTTAAATACGAATATTTAAACTTACAATGCAGAAAAATATACATTAAAAAAAAAAAAAAATATATATATATATATATATATATATATATATATATATATATAAATTCTGTATCAAACATTTAAATATTCGTAATTAAAAATTTAAACCATAAGGATTCAGAGTTAGAAAGCAGTGTTAGTGTTCAGAAATTAATATTTTTACCTTAGATGCAATCGCTCCTATGACAAAGAAGTTACTTATTCTACGAAACTTTTTATACTTATATTATTTGATCAATAGTAAGTCATTTAATAGCGTACATTTCTTACTAACGTTTCTTACTAACACTTCACATACTTTCAAATCGCCAATATCTAATATTTTCGACATTGTGATACTGAATGACTGAACTTGTGATACTAGCTAATATTTAAATGATATTCAGAAGATATATAACAAAATATATGAAAGATAAGTTGTACATTTATGATGTACTTAATGAAACATTGAAACAATTTTGATACAAATAATAAAGCAATATTTTTTAGAAAGATAGAATAAATTTTAAGTTTATATTATTAATTACATTAACTACAAATGTGATATTTCAGTTTAAGATTGAAAAGTTAATATATTAATTAAAGTTTTGTATTTATTTTAAAATATTTATTTCTAAGTTAAAAGAGAGAAACGTGTAGTAATAAAAACATTTGTATCAAAATGATTATTTTTAACAAAAAGGTATAAAAATATGTTCCACAGTGAAAAAGAAATGCAACATAAATATATTTATTTTCCCGATAAAGATAACGAAGCATTAAAATTTTCAATTGAAATTACAATGTAATCGAATTGAAAACAATATGTTCCACTTTTTTAATTTAATATATGTATTTATTGTAGTTCTTCATTATTTATGTTACTTACATTGACATTTAAAGCAATAAGAAACCCAGATAGACTTTCATGATCATCACACTGTGAGACAATTAATGATAGAAAGTTGGCAATTCCCAGATAGGGAATCCGAGGGACGGATTTTTCACTTTCGTGATCGTCACGACGTGCGGTAATCGATTTATGGTAACTTTACAGAATATCCCTGGCGGAAAAATTGTAACGAATCATAACGTGTTTTAACGGGAAATGACGCATTGCTACAATAAATAACGTATTGCTACGAAAAATCAAATTTCTTGAAATATTGGAAAAACACGTAAAAATTAGTAAGAATTAGTACGTATTCCTGCGCTCTACTAGGAATTTATACGGAATGGGAGTAGTTTTTCTTACTTCACCGGTAAAAGTACGCCTTTCTGTGCATTACAAAGAAATGTGCATAGCATGCGTTTTTTTCTTGGATATCCCTGCAATGACTGCGCTATTGAACGCGTAGGTAAGACTGTCTACGAAATAGGAGTAGTATTTCTTAATCAGTCGAAAGAAGTACTACTTTATACACATTTATACAAATTATGACACATTTATATAAATTATTACATATTTATACAAATTATTACACGGTGGGAGTAGAATTTCATACTTGTCTGACCTACCTACGCTTTTTCACACCACATTTGTTTCACACGTATTGATTTGGGATGGGCGTATTTTCTCATTATTTTTCGAACAAATTACACCGCTATACGTGTCACTATAAAAATTATTCATGAAAACGGCAGATGTGCAGTTACTTATAGCGTGTTTGAGTGGCCTCGGATTTATCGCTCCGAGAGGGATATACATACGAATGTATGTACTATATGTGTATATGCATATAAACAATTAATAAAATGGCAATAAGTTATATGTTATAGCATACAATTATTTTTATTTATAAACAATATATAATAATAAAAGTATACATTTATAAACAATATGCACAGAAAAATAACTTATTTGCATTATTTAATCGCTAAGGCATCCTCTTGGTATCTCACTGATATAGGACTTATTATTATTGTACGAGGGTGGTCTGAAAAGTTTCCGACCTCAACGTGAAGATAGCAGCACTTGTAAATAAAAGCTAGTGAATTTCGTTGTTCAT